GTTTTAGTTTGGAATGTCGATTAAGGGTGTTTTTCTAACACCTATTCCTAAATACACACCTAAATCTAAAGTTAAATCTAACTAGATAAATTGAACAAATAAACCAAGTAGAGTCGAAGAGCTGAGGGGATAGGGAGAATAAAGTAACCACGAAGCCTTGCCAACAAAACTATAGACCGGAGAAGAGGCAAGCAGAGATCTTACCTTTAGGGCAGAGAATCGCGAGGGAGGGGAGAGCGGGTCCCGAGAAAGGAGCTCGGTTGCCATAGAGGGGAGGAAGGGGGTAGGGCAGTAAAAGCCGAGTGAAAAATTAATATTAAACGTGGGCTGCGGGGTCAAACATGCGGCTTGCATTTTATCGAAATGTTATCAATACGCCGCCGAGCTATAGTTACCAAACGAGAGAAAAAAAGACATTTTTAAACCGCGCCGCACGAAAAATGCGGCGCCAGACAAGCCCTTAGTGCAGTCAGGGGCATGCTTTTTAAAAGTTGTAGGTACCATGCAAAAGGAATTCTTACAACTCAGAGTACAAATGAGGAGCGACTTGGAAGCTAAGGAAACTATGAAAGAAGTTTTTGTCGAATGAGAGCTTGATAGAATTTTCTAGTTATGTTCGACTTTTGATACTGAACATAAGGGTGACATCATTAATACTCTTAGGGAGCCAGAGATGCTAGGAGTTAGCATTGATATCACTTTTCATAAGCTCAACATTAATCCTACAGCTCGACCGATGAAACACAAGATGGGAAAAGATTTAACAACATTAGTTGAACCAATTTGACAAAAAATATAGAAGTTACTTGATGCTGGTTTTATTAAAGAATTTCATATCTTGATTTGCTTGCAAATATGGTGATGATTATAACAAGTGAAGAATGTGTTTTGATTTTACTAATTTGAATTTGATCTACCCAAAATACAATTATCCTTTGCGGAGAATTGATGCTTTAGTTGACTCTGTTGTTGGCTATTCTTTTTTGACGCATTTTTAGACTACCATTAAATTAAAATACATTCAGCTGATAGCAAGAAAACTGTGTTCATACGTGAAGATGATGTGCACTATTACTCCGTAACTTTTTTAGGATTGAGATTATTGGTGCCACATATCAAAGATTTGTGAATGTATTTATTGCAAAACACTCGTAAGATTTTAAGATGAACCTGATAAACGTGAAAGCTATTCTTGACTTGATGTCTCCCAAAAGTACCAAAGAGGTTCTAAACACTTCGCTTAACCCAATAATAGATTTATTTTGAAGTTGGAAGATAAAAGTTTTGCATTTTGTAAAAAGCTAAACGCTAACATTTAACTTAATCCAAAGAATGCAAAAAACCTCTCTTATAATCGAAGAATATTTTATTTTTTCCTCCACTTCTTCAAAATCCAAAATTTGATAAGAGCTTGTTTATATATCTTATTGTTCGGAGCTATCAGCTTCGTGTTTATTCTAGAAGAAAAAAAACATAATTTCTTATTTATTATATCATTAAAATTTTAAGGGGTATTAAACGTAGGTGTCCAATTTTTAAAAAAACATGCTTTAGCCCTGATCATTCTAATTTGAAGGCCACGACCTTGCTTTTATGCACATTGAATAAAAATCATCGTTGATTATTCTTTAAAGTTAGTAGTCGCTAAGCTTGATTATTTTGGTAGACCATTTGACCAAATCCGCAGTTACGTTTTTTTTTTAGTTTCCTGGAAAAAAACTCTACCCAGTTTCTTTAGGCGGCTAATATGCAAAATTGATATATTATAGAGTTTAGAATTAATTTATAGTTTACACACAGAGGTTCTACGCTAGTATTCGTATCGTTTAAGTAATATAAGACTTTAATAGAGTCCCGATTATCGATCTCACAGGGCAGCGATGGAAGAAATCTCTCAAGCTAAGTTCTAGTCTACTACTATGAGGTCTTAGTTTGAAATGTCGGTTAAGGTTGTTTTTTTAACAACTCTTAAATACAAACCTAAATCTGAAGTTAAACCTAACTAGATAAATTGATTTGGTGAATTTTGAGGTGTAACAACTATCTTTTCTCTTGTGGTGACCTAATAATGTGTAGGAATGTGATGCTTAGATTCTAATGTGGCCAGTGACAATAGGAAGAAAAATCTTAGTTACTCTTTTCGGAGTGTATAACGTAGCTCAGTTAACCTAGGGTCGATTCCCTAAAATAACTAGATTATCATGGCGAAACTTCTAGCTTGTCACTCTAGAGTCTCATTCTCCTAATAGTCCTATAATTGACTTAATTTTAGATTTAAGGTACGAAACCCTAGACAAATTGGTTAGGAATCTAGCCTGTCATTTTAGAAACACCAATTTACACCCATCAACGAATAGCTCCCTAACATTGCATTGAATCTTATAATTACTTTTTCTTTACCCATAAGTTCAATGTGGTTTCTCCTAGTTGTTAAAGTCATAACCCTCTTGGAACTTATGAGTTTACAACAAATTTTAATAATTAGTAAATGAAGCATGAAGTAAGAACAATCACTATGGTATGAAAAACCTATTCTAACATGCATCCTAACATCTTAAACAATTATCCAATTCATTGCAAATAAAAAGTAATTTTACTTCGTAAAGCAGTTGTCACACACAACAAAAAACTTTATTAAAACAAAAAAAATCTACTAGATAAGTGCTTACAAGTACAAGATAATGAAAAATATAATACTTAATTTTTTCCCTCTAAATTAAAGATGAAAATCCCTCCAACAAAATTTTCTGCTGATCCATGTAATGCTAATACAATCCTTTACAGATATCTCTCAAAATCCTGTCGCCAATCTCTCTAGAAAAGGTAAAATTATAAATTTCTTCTTTTTACGACTTCTTGGCCTTCCTGGAGAATTCCAGGACTTAGAAAATGCCAAAAGTCTTTTTCCAAACGTCTAGATCCATCAAATAAATTCTTGCGGTGTGTAGAATCGCTCCTGGACAGTTTGGGCACCTAGGCACCGTCTTCTCTGTTTTCTGGGCGGAGACTATTACATAGGCGCCAGTCTGTGGCGCCTAGGCACCACGCTGTTGGCAGTGCCCCCCTATTTGCTCCCATTTGCCTCTATTTCATTTCATTTTAGCTCCAATCCGCTTCAAGTGTTATATACCTACAAGATAAGCATGAAAATAATCTTTCTTTAAAATGCAATTTCATTCAATAACATATGATAAGTGCAAAGAAATTTAAGCATAAAAAAGACATATACCATTCAAGTGTATAGTCGAACTAAACGAGTTCAACATATTTTATTTTTTTAAGAAATGGTATCAAGATGCAAACTTTGGTTGATTTTTTGGTTGAGTTTTTTGAATCTGGCACTAGTTGTGAATATTATTGAAGAAGTTATATGGACTATGTTTGTGGATGGGGTTTCAGATATAGACAAAGAGTTGGTATCAGATTGGTGCTACACAACCCAACTAAAATTTGACTATATTGCTTTGTTTAATAATGCTATGGGATTAGTATTAATCAAATCGTATACGAAACACTAATTGCTGGCTTGAGATTTGTTGAAGATATTGGGGTGAAACCTTTGTTTGATCAAATTCTCAATTGGTGGTCAATCAGGTGAATGACCATTATGAAGTTAGGAAAGACGTTTTGCAGAGGTATTTATTCAAAATGAATACTAAAGCTGAAAAAATTGGATACCTCAAAATTGAGCATATTTCAGGAGAAGATAATCGATTTGCAAATTTATTGTTGAAATTGGTAAATCTAGATGGGAGACCTATTCCGAAATTAGTTCACCCAATAATTGAGAAACCAAAAGGGATGAATATTAATTTTGAGAACTTTCTAGTGTCTGAATCTGCCTCCAAACATAAATTTTTTAATATAACAACATTTATATCAAGTGATTTTTTTTGAGTCTGTGTAGACAGATGGAGTTATTGCTGAATCATAGACGATGCTCATGGAACATGCATTGTTGATTTCAAAAATAGTCTAGAATCAATTATAATTTGTCCCAACGAGACATGAATCCTTCTTAAATATAACACAACGAAGCGAGATGTTCAAGGTAAAGACAGTGCTCATCATTTCACACTTAGGGATCCAATAGGTAAATACCACGAATGAATGTCTTTATTCAAATATTGATGCATTCAACCATTCAACTAAGAATAATACTTAACAAAGCACACAATAAAAGCTTTAACTTTTGTTATACTAGAATTTTTTAGTACAATCAATGCTTATATTACATAAATTTACATTACTAGAGAAAAGGGGAGGATTAATTACAATCCCAAGCTACTAATGCTATGTATCACCCACCTATTCGTATTCAAAGCCAAGGCAAAGATTTCGAATAGAGATGGCTGGAAATAGGGGTCTAAGTGAGCCAAGCCAGCTTGCAAGCTGACTTGAACTCGACTCAATAGCGAGCTTTAGTTTATTTATTTAACTCAAAATTTAATAATGAAATTTGAATTTCTTAAATTTTTGGTTATTACAATAAGTGGGATGTGACGTTATCCTTCACTTCAACTGACAATAATCAGTGATTTCCTTTGTTATGACAAACTGCTATATTTAAAATAATCTTTTGGGGTGAACTTCACCAATATTCAAGTTTTTCAAAATGGTAGATTGGGCTGTTGATCATTTTCTCACTCTAATGCAAACAGGTCTGCCTTCATATAGCTTTCACTCTATCTTGGAAATTTTCCTAGTTTATGAGATTATAGAAGTGAATGCAAACGATACTTACGGATGTTGTGACCAGTAACAAATGCATTTCTGGACCTAAAATTAGTTGCTGCTTTATTACCTTTGGCATGTGCAGATGGCGTTCCTCCTTGCAACAAGAGATTAAAGAATATGTCTGACTTTTTTTTTACAATTAAATACCTATTAGAAAAATTTCTTATGATACTTTGCCTTTTTATTGTATGTCAATTTTTAAGCTTGTCACTACCTTGAACTTTTTCAAGTCTGAAGACTAATAAGGTTTTTTAATACTTCAGGTTGGTTCAGTAAAAGCTAAAAAGTTCTGTTTAGGATTGAAGTTAATACACCAGGAACTGGTAGGTATTTCTAGTTAGAATGCAGGCCTTGTGTTACTTGCTTCTTCCTTCATTGCGATGCTTGGATTATGAAATTCAGGTGAACAAGGAACTGGGTTTGGAGTCTGCTAAAAGATACCTTGTTACAGACAAACAGACATGATCTGAACAGACTTTGCTCTGAGGTAATGCAATAGGTAGTAACAAATTGGGGCATTTACATAAAGAGCACAAAATTCTTATGTATTTACATATCTAACTCCTAAACTTTCATATTTACACACATAAAAACTCAAACTCAAATCTTTAATATCAAATTGAAAGTAGCACTATTACCACTTTTTAAAGAGAAAGCAACCTTTTATGCTTAGATTTAAAGCACCAAAATGCTATACATCTAAAATGAAAGTTCAGGTGTGAGATATGTAAATGCACAAGGATTGTGTGCTATGCATGTAAATTTCCCTATTTGTAGGACCAGTTTTATCGATAACCATTGATTTAGTCATGTTATTCTGATTTTTTTCAGGTAAGAGCTGATAAGGTTGGCCGGTTTGGTCACCTTCATATGATGAAAATGCTGCTAGAGATGATTTGAGAGGTCGCTTGACGAAACCTATTGAATTTGATTTTTTTCTTTTTTTTTTCTTTTTACATAAAAATGGTCTCAGAATTTTATTCTGCAGCACAGATCAAATACTTTTCGGATACGAAGTTCATAGATGTAAGGGCTCTAGTCTAATACTGGCTCTAGTCTATTATATCCGCATTTCAGTTATTGTTTTTTTTTTTTTGGCTGAATTTTCAACTTCTATCTTTTAAGTGCCTTCATTATATATATATATATATATAGATTTTAATATTCTAGTTTTAAATTCTCTTATTTTTATGCACGAACACTCATGTCATTCCTTCTGATGAAAACGAGAATTTCACATCTCTCATCAGCTCTTGTTTTTAAAGTTGCCTTCAACTTCTATTGGGTTTACTAATTGAAAAAAAAAAGATATTTTGAGGTTATTGTCATGTTTAATCGTTGTAAATTTTCATAATTTTTTAATTTATCCATATTTTATAATGATAAACGTTTTTATATCGTTTGTTTCAGGGAAATTTGACTGTATATGACTCATAATAGTCATAATTAGAGAATATTTTCTATTTGTTTAAGTGGTGAAATGCGTTTGTGAACGTGCTTTAGATCAAATGCCCTTGTTATGCTTATATCCCTATTTCAAAATATTTCTTGCTAAAAGCACTGAGTGTTGCTATTTTGTTGTTTCTATTTCTTTTGGTATGTATCCAGTCTATCTTCATTGTTAATTAATTTATCGCTCTTGTGTTGAAAAATTATTGCATGATGCATCTAGAGTTCTGATACAATTTTGCATCAAAACTTCAATCAGGGTATGCCGCGTGTATAGGCAGACCCACCCAAGTATTAAATAATTTTTTTTACAAATGTATGTTTGCCTGTACATGTGACAGATCCGGGTTGGAGTCCTGATACAAAATTGTATCATGACTTCTGATGCAATAATTTTTCCATTTTGTTGAGATATCTTTGTTTAGTAAACTAAGAAGGCCGTCATGATGATGTTGAGTTGATTTTTGACAGCTATGGTGAAGTCTTTTTAAATTTTTGCATGATGTGGAATCATATAATCCAAATGATTCTGTAATGGTTCGTATGTTTTAACCTTGAAATGGTCTCAGAATTTCTATATATAGGGTCAAAATTTAATTAAATCATGTTGAATTCATATTTACAGAGCTATATATAGGGTCAAAATTTAATGAAATCATGTTGAATTCATATTTGAGCATGGTTCGAACTTTTTATGAACAGTATTTATACATGTACATGGTTGAATATGATTTGAATCTTATTTGAAATTTGTTCAACTTTGCGTGACAGTTAGAGCAATGTTCTGCGTAAACTTTCAATGATATTTGAGCATATTCAAATAATATTTAAATATTTTTTGCCAGCATTGATTGATTTTTATAGTGGTCTTGTGTTATATTCTTGAGCATTTTTTTTTGACATGTGAATCAAATTATCCATATTCTTGTGCTGCATATAGGAGAGTAGAATGAATATAGCCAAGTTGGTTGGATAATTAAGTAGAAATAATGCAATTGATAGATGGTTCAAAAATTTATTTTCTTTAAGGATTACATAGATCTTATACATAATTATAAAGATTGATGAAAGTCAATTGAGCTTGTAATTAGAAATGGAGAACTATTTGATCGAACAAATTTAATCCTATAAAATTTCTTTCAACAAAGCAAGAAAATATGATATCATTTTTTATAAATGAGATATCCATATTTATTTAAGTCAATATCAACTTTGTGTTTATTGCCCAAATAAAACATCTAATATAGATTATAGTGAATGAAAATGATTCTAGGTCAATTGATCCATGATTTTTTGCCGCATTAAGAATTGAATGTGATTTGTATACATGATGTAGATGAACCCAAGCTCTGAGTTATTCTCAACCAGACTGAGGAGGTATAGGGAGCTAAGGGAATCCTTTATTATATGCAATAAATCTTGTGTTAAATTGTCTCTGATGTTGTGTGGCCCTTTCTAAGTTGAGCCAATTTTGTTGAGTAACAATTAACAATATGTGTCATCCACCTTTTAACTAGCCAAGGTAGTGGGGTGGGTTCTTCATTAATATTATGGTAGTATATCTCATCCACAACTAACAAAGAATGTATTTCTATAGTGCCTAAATGTTTCCTTTAATTTATAAAATTTAAATAGTTTTCTATTGTTTTTATCTTGGACATGGCTTTTGGGCCTCTCTTCAAATCCTTCTAGATCATCCATATGATCCTCTTCTTCATCTCTATAAGTTAGGGTCTGTTTGGGGCAGCTTATAAGTGCGGCGGCGTTTTTGAAAGTTTTGCGCGGCTTATTAAATAAGCCGGTTTTTAATTCGGAGAAAAGCTGATCACGGGTATCTATCCGCGATCAGCGTTTCGAACGCGCGATTGGGGATATTTTACGCGTACGCCTTCTGCCCTAAAACATTATTCGCACTCTCCGCCTCCAGTGTCACTGTTCCTCGCGCCAAAGCAGCACCGCTGTGCCTTCCACCGAAGTGTCGTTTCTTCGTTGTTCCTCCGCTCCGCCGAAGACCCACGCTTCCTCCGCCAAAGCTCCGCCCTGCCGCCTCCGCTGAGGAAACCTTGCTCCGTTTCCGCTCCGCCAAATGCAGCTTCCGCTCAGACTTTGGTAAGAAATCTGGATCTTACCTCATCTCATTCATCTCTTCTTCCCTCTTAAATCTTTCCCTGAGAATCTCACCCCCGATTTTTAGGTTTGCCCTCACTGATTCCGTTCGGCCTGCTCTTTCTTGTCGGCGAGCTCCTTCTTTGACATTCTCGGAAGGTAAAACTTATTCCTTGCCCATTTATTCCTTTTCTTCGCATTAAGAATTTTTTCATTTGCAAGGATAGGTAGATGAACGGACATGTGATAAAATATTCATATATTTTCATCTAATTTTATGTAATTCCTCCTTGTAAATAAAATGAGGATGTTACTCATGTTTTATTTTGTAATATTGGCATATATATGGGTTCATGGATATTAGAGATCACCTCTATTCTATAAAGATGTACTCATAATCATGCTTTTTATTGTTTGTTGTTGATACGAGGGGGATTATCATTACTGCAATTTGCACTAAAGTGTGATAGCTTTATGGTGGTTATCATGTTGCTATTCTACCTATTTTACTTGTGTTGTTGGTGTTCTCAATTCATTCTTTCTATTTTAGAATTTGACGTCTCTAGATTAGTAAAATTAAAATAAGATTATTATTCTTCCTTAACTTCCATCTATTGTTTTGTGATTTTAAATCAAAGCTTTTTTTGGCCTGTTCATTTTCTATAATTCGTGGTTTCTATTCATAAGCATTCTAGAACTTCTCTAAGGGATTTCTTTGTCCTAATACAAAACAAATGATTATGATTTTCTTTGTCCTAAATGAAAATTTTATTTGTATTCTATTCCTAAATTGATGGGCGAGTAAGAGAGTTAACGGTTAAGTATTTCTTTGTCCTAATACAAAACAAATGTAACTCATGTTTTATTTTGTAATAATGGCATATAGAAAATTTTCTTAGAATACTACATAAGGGTAAATTCATTTTTTTCTTATTTTAACCTTTCACTAGTAAGTACCACAATGAATAAGGGCAAAGAAGTTGGATCATCTGCTATGTGGGACAGGGAAGCAACAAATATTTTTTGTGATCTCTGTCTTAAGGAGGTGGAGCTAGGAAATAAACCTACTACATATTTTAACAAAGAAGGTTGGAATACAAATAATGTTTCTGTCAAATTAAAAGAACTCACAGGCAGAGACTACGACAGGATGAAATTTAAAAACAAATGGGATCAACTAAAGAAGGATTGAAGGTGAATGCCATAAAAATTTGGAAGGAACTTAAGAGGGGAACTACAGGTTTGGGCTGGGATCCATTGAAACGAACGATAGAAGCTCTTGAGGAGTGGTGGGCTGAGAAACTACAGATAAAGACTCATTCTATATCATCTCCTTATTTCAATTTGAGTTACATTGAAATGAATGTACTAATTTAACTTCCCTTCATCATGCAGGGAAGTTAATTCAAAATAGCAATTTTTTGTAATTTTGCGGAGTAGAAAGTCAGATTTTGTTAAATTTTTGTTTTTGTTAAATTTTTTGTAAAGTTGTTGAATCTTCTATATATTGATGCATATTTATGGACTAAATATTTACATTTTCAAATGGTTTGGGCTGGTAGTAATTACAACTCATATTGTATAGTTAAATTTTAGTTATTTCCAAGGCAATACTTCTGTGTTAATACTTCTGTGTTATTTTCAAGATATGAAATTAAAATTTTCATGAATGTTTGCTTCAAACGATGCAGCTCAATCATGTTGGTGCTTGTAGCTCTTGTTTACATGATATATAAGGGCGTACAACATTTCTCCAAATATATGTTGGCGTATATAAGGGCGTACAACATTTCTCCCATATATGTTTGATATTGGTGCTTGCAGCTGTTGTTTGCATGATATATTTACATTTTTAACATCTAAACTTAAGTGGTTATATTGGTCTCAAAGAATATATTGGCTTCCATGATATATTTACATTTTTAACATCTAAACTTAAGTCCTTGTATTGGTCTGAATTTATACAAATTGAAAGAATTTTGGTCGATGCCCTCGCCAGCATGAGCTTTCAATCATTCTGAATATGCTTGTATTCGGTGCTTTCCATAATGTTTCTGTCAACTTTTTGATACAGATGAAATTAAGACCTTGTATTTACTCTCTTTTGTGAGGAAAGCTTCAGGTTTTGAGAAACCTTTGCTCCATCAATTTTCCTTCTTAATTAGCAATGCTTTCCAAAAGCCAATGGCATCAATCAGGCAACCGGATGAAACCAAAACATGCCCAATTTTCATTTCTATATTCTTCCAACTCTCACACTAGCAGCAGCAGTGTTACTAGTTATCCTTCTCAAAATGATGAAAATTTACTCAATTCCCTGAACGATTTTCTTATCAGTAATGTTTAAAGAAGTGCAAATCAGCATATGCACATTAGTTTGATCAAGCATTATCTCGGTGCACAACTACAAATTATTTCAGTCCAGCTCAAAGTTCATATTTGCCAACTTGGGTCCAATTAAAATTTCAACCTCAACTTTTTAATGATTTTGAAGTCATCATAGCACTCCTTGGGTTTAGATTTTTTTTGACAG